ATTCCTGCATTCAAATTCTGGCTCCATTACTCCCCGTGTAAACTTGGGCAAGATGCTGTACCTGACTTTCCTCATATATAAAGTGGGGATAAAGGCACCCACTTGATAAGGGTGTTATCAAGACGAAACTAGTGAATACAGGAAAGGCGCTGGGAACAGTGCCTGACACATGCTCAGGGCTCAATTAAACTTAGAAATTGTTATTTTGTCAAAAGGGCAAGAGACGGTGGGTGGCTTCATTAGAATTCAAGCATCTGGACCTTTGCCCTCACTCACCGCTTTCGCAACTGACTTGTGTTATGGTTGGCAGGATACACGAATGCTAGACACGTCCATTTGGCTGCCTCTCAGACAAAGCAACAGGTCGGAAACTCAGCCCATCACCTTCCCCGCCCCGGGCTCCTTCCTGTCCGGGTAAAGGGACTAACATCCTCCTCCCTCACCCTCCCGCGTGCCCCACATTCAGCAGACCCCGTTCCCTGTATCTGTCCCGGATCCATCTTTCCTGCGTTTTGCGCCCGGGCCTGGTGTTCCTCATGTCTTGCCTTGGCTCCTCTAACAGCCTCCACTCCAGACCCCTCAGATCCACCCGCAGGAAATGAGCCCTAATTTCACCCAAAGTCACGCAAGCAGAGGGTCGGATCATGGTGGAGCCCCCCGGGACAGCAGTGACGCAGGGCGTGGCCCGCCGGCCTCGGAGCACCGGGGCGCCCGCTCCAGCCGAGCGGAAGCACGCCGACCCCTCGCTCCCCGGCCGCCCCCGGGCCCCCGCCGCCCTCGCTCCCGGTGCCGGCTACCCGCTCACCGCGCAGGGCCCGCTCACAGCCCTCCCGCCAGCGCTCCGCCGCCGGGACCACGCCCCCTGTGACGCGCCTTCAGCCCCGCCCCAGCCCGTCACCTGACCGCGCGCAGCCGGGGCCCCGCCTCCCGGCGGAGCGCCACTGAAGCGCGAGGATTGGCTGGGAGTGCGCACTTCAGCCAATCCGGACTCACCCCGGCCCTCGCGGCCCCGCCTCCTCCCGGTGGCGCGCCTGAGAGTGACATGCTCTGCCGGTTGGGGCTGCGTCCGGGGCTGCCGGGCTGGGAGGGGTTGGGATGGAGGCGGCCGGGCCGCGGAGCAGGGACGCGCGGGGGCGAGCGGCGAGTCAGCCTGGCAGACGAGCAGAGAAGAGCCCGCCGGACAGGTGCGCTCCTTGAGCGGAAGGCAGGGGAAGCCGTCGGCGCCCTCCTCCAGGAAGCCCTCCGGGCGCCGCGTGGCGAGGTCTGAGGGTGGCGGCCGGCCGGTGGTCACTCTCCGAGGGGGGGGGGCGGCCAGCTGGTGGGCACTCTCCAAGGGAGGGGGCCTTCCCGGAGAGGGGCCGCCAGCTGGCCGGTCTCTCGCGGGCGTGAGGGTCCGCGCGGGGATGCAGCGCCGCCCGGCTGTCCGCGCGGGAGGCCTAAAGCAGGGATGAGCGCTGGGAGGACGAGCGGATGCGAGGCGCGGCCTGCGAAGGGCTCCGGGGAGGTGACGCTTGGGCTAAAACCTGAGTGACATCCGGGAGTGAGCCGCACAAGTTCTGAGAGCGAGCGCGCGGGGAGAGGAAACCTCAGCAAAGGCCCCGAGGGCAGGAACGAGCCCTCGGAGTCCAGGGCAGCGAGGACTGCGGAGCGGAGGGGCTTGGGGCACCTGTCCGCGAGCAGAGCCGCAGAGCCCAGGAAGGACTTGGGGTGTCCTGGAGGTTTGAGAGGGGAGTGACGTCATTTAATTATATTACAAATTACTACTTTATATTTTAAAGGAATCCTTCTGGCTGCTTTGTAGGGAGTAGGGGTTGCAGGAAGCAGGGAAGCCAGTTGGGAGTCTTTTGTCACAGTCGAGGAGGGAGAGGCGGTGTGGACCTTAGTGGTGGCAGGGGTGGCGGGAGAAGGGTTTGTACTGAGAATAAACCCGGCAGTTGCTGATGCGTCCTCCGAGTAGGGGAGAGGTAGGGTTAAGAAGGATGCCCCGAGGCTGCTGGCCTGAGCACCTGGCCGAGTGGGGGTGAAGACAGGGGGACACTCCAGCCCACAGAGCTGTTCCAGCCTGCTGGGGAGGCGGTGGAAAGATGGCGGAGGAGTAAGACGCGGAGATCACCTTCCTCCCCACAAATACACCAGCCTGCTGGGACCTTCCCCTGGGCGGGGGAAATGCATCTTTGTTTGTTTGTGAGTCTTCACCCTCAATCCAGGAATTTGTTAAATACTTTCTGGGTAGGAGGGGTAATCTTCTCTACCTGAGTATGAGGAACGGGCGTGTGTCTTTAAAATGTGGGTCCAGGCCTAAATCTGCCATGTCTTTCATTAGGTCTCATTTGCTTGGAACTGAGAAAAGGGAGCTGGGAAAATGTACTGAGTGAAGAAGAGATTCGTGGTGCCTTTTTCTTTTTGGTTATGAACCTAATGAAGTTTAGCTTTTTCCCATATGCAATACTGATAGCACTTTAAAGAAGTAACAAATGAGGGCGCAGAGTAATCTCTGAAGTGTTCTGAAATTCAAGCTTTGAATTAACTCAGCCAAGCAGGAGATTGGTCACTAGTAGTTTGAGTAATTTTGGAATACTTGTCATTGGCAGTGAGAGCAGAGTTAGGGGCACATGCAGATTTAAGACTCAACAGTACCCAGGGATTCCTAATACCCGGGTGGCCAAGGATGGCTGCTCAGACTTCCCAAGCCCCAAAGCCTTGTGCTTGGGCATCTTAGAGACAAGATGCTGCATTAAAACACTCCATGGGGGGACTTCCCTGGTGGTCCCGTGGTTAAGAGTCCTCACTTCCATTGCAGGGGCCACGGGTTTGATCCCTGGTCGGGGAACTAAGATCCCACATGCTGCAAGGCACGGCCCAAAAAAAAAAACACTCCGTGGGTTAAAGAACCTGTGTTTTAACAGCCGCCGTTGGTAATTGTGTTTGAATTTTCACGTGGATTGGTTTAAATGCTATCGCTGATTTTAAAGTCAGGTAAAATAATTAATGGTATCTGGCAGGATTGCCTACTATTACATATTCATGAAAGTTTCTGAAAGTTTTTGATACTGGTAAAAAGATATAAGTTTCACTTAGGGATCTTTCAGGGGCTGTGCACTTTCTGTGACATTTGTCACCTTATAAGTCAAGCCCCTACTCGGCGCCGGCCATTGTCCTCAGTGTTGGCGACAGAGCTGGGAGGAAAACGGGAGCTTGTGGAGCCGCTGTTCTGTTACTTTCTGTTGAGATAGAGAATAAACAAGGAGCAAGTCTAGTGTATTAGATGATGGGGTGCCTTGGAGAAACGGGGTGCCAGGGGGCACAGCCCTGGGTAGGAGGGCATGGGTGGCTGCAATTTTATTTAGAGCCCAGTTTGCCTCACAAGAAGGTCAAGTTGGAGCAAAGACCTAAAAAGTAAGGTGGGGGTGTCAGTGTGGTCATTCTAGGCAAAGAAAACGGAAAGTGCAAAGGGAGGAGGCTGCAGCTCAGGTGCACGCGCCCCCCACCCCGCAGAGGAGGCTGCAGCTCAGGTGCACGCGCCCCCCACCCCGCAGAGGAGGCTGCAGCTCAGGTGCACGCGCCCCCCCACCCCGCAGAGGAGGCTGCAGCTCAGGTGCACGCGCCCCCCACCCCGCAGAGGAGGCTGCAGCTCAGGTGCACGCGCCCCCCACCCCGCAGAGGAGGCTGCAGCTCAGGTGCACGCGCCCCCCACCCCGCAGAGGAGGCTGCAGCTCAGGTGCACGCGCCCCCCACCCCGCAGAGGAGGCTGCAGCTCAGGTGCACGCGCCCCCCACCCCGCAGAGGAGGCTGCAGCTCAGGTGCACGCGCCCCCCACCCCGCAGAGGAGGCTGCAGCTCAGGTGCACGCGCCCCCCACCCCGCAGAGGAGGCTGCAGCTCAGGGGAAGCAGAGGGGAGCGGGGGGAGCAGTGGGCGCCTAGATCGCCAGAGCCTCACAGCCATCGCAGGCACTGCAGGGAAGTAAAGGAAAACTACTGGTAAAGTGGTGACGTTGAAAAACCAGGGAAAAAGCCCTGAGGAATGTGCGGCTCCCTGGGACTGCCAGGTTCCCCTGCTTCCCTCAGGAGGAAGGTTGGAGTCAGGTAGGTAGCCCAGGCCCAGCGGACCACCCCTCCTACCAAGCGGTGGAAAGAAGTTTTGAAAGTCCAAAGGGACAATTTCCTAACAGTGATAAAGGAAACTAGCAAATACTATTGATAGATGGTTGGAAAACACGTATACATTTTCCACAAGTAATGAAGATGTGGAAACTTCTGAGCTTGTAGAATCCGGCACATGTAGATGCAGAGAAGCACCCCGACCTTGACATTATTTGCTCCTGTTGATACGATAGACAGGGTGCAGCTGTGTTTCCAGATTTCACCTTCTTTTCCCTAATAGGCACGTCTTTATTTTCTCTCCAGCAGGAAAGTGTATATGGACTATAATGCAACCACCCCCCTGGAGCCAGAAGTCATCCAGGCCATGACTGAAGCCATGCAGGAAGCCTGGGGAAATCCCAGCAGCCCTTACCTGGCAGGTAATTCTAGAAGACACACACAGATCAGAGACGTGGGGGGCAGAGGTACTCTTAGAGAAATTAGAGAATCCTACATGGGATGACTCGGTTTTGAATAGATTTTCTGTTAACTGCAAACCTTTAGCTGTAATTTTGGGTAGTTTTTTCCTGAGAAGTCCAAATTTGAGCCTTGTTGATACCATAATCTTTCATCTTTAACATACTCTCCTGTCCTCCTTTCCCAGATGAAAAAGCTGTCTTATTAAGAGTTGTTTGTAGTGACAGTACCTATTAAAACCCTGTCATGTATCTGTCTCAGTTGATCGTTACAAAATTTGCAAAATAGATCCTTTACGACATCAGGATCACATAGAATCCTGGTCTCCTTTTTTTAAAAATAAAAATTACTTTCAAATTCTTCAATTATAAATATTCTTGTATGTTTCTCGTTTATTCTTGTTTTAATGTAGAGCATTAAATTGGAGGTCTTGGAAAAGAATTTGCTTCAAATCAGGAGTTACATGGCAGAGTCAACTTGTGTCTTTCAGGCAGTGAGCTGAAGCTGTGTCTTCTCATTTAATGCTTTATCAGGGATGATGAAGATAAACTATCTTAACTGTGGATCACGATGAACTAAAATAACTTTCAGACTCCTGCCACGCCCTAGGATTTAGCAATACCTGTGTACAAATTTATAGGCTTTTGTGGGGTTTCATGTCGGTTTGCTTATGAAAAGCTTCACAACTTGATAACTAAAAGCTTTTGCAAAATCAGATACCAGTCATTCATTAGCTTTGTTGTTGGTTTATCTTACACATGTATTCTGGCTAATCTGGACGTTGCCTTGTAGCTAATCTTTCCTCTAGTGAAAGTGTCAGTGTGCTCATTCTAGGCAAAGAAAACGGAAAGGTCAAAGGGAGGAGGCTGCAGCTCAGGTGCACGCGCCCCCCACCCCGCAGAGGAGGCTGCAGCTCAGGTGCACGCGCCCCCCACCCCGCAGAGGAGGCTGCAGCTCAGGTGCACGCGCCCCCCACCCCGCAGAGGAGGCTGCAGCTCAGGTGCACGCGCCCCCCACCCCGCAGAGGAGGCTGCAGCTCAGGTGCACGCGCCCCCCACCCCGCAGAGGAGGCTGCAGCTCAGGTGCACGCGCCCCCCACCCCGCAGAGGAGGCTGCAGCTCAGGTGCACGCGCCCCCCACCCCGCAGAGGAGGCTGCAGCTCAGGTGCACGCGCCCCCCACCCCGCAGAGGAGGCTGCAGCTCAGGTGCACGCGCCCCCCACCCCGCAGAGGAGGCTGCAGCTCAGGTGCACGCGCCCCCCACCCCGCAGAGGAGGCTGCAGCTCAGGGGAAGCAGAGGGGAGCGGGGGGAGCAGTGGGCGCCTAGATCGCCAGAGCCTCACAGCCATCGCAGGCACTGCAGGGAAGTAAAGGAAAACTACTGGTAAAGTGGTGACGTTGAAAAACCAGGGAAAAAGCCCTGAGGAATGTGCGGCTCCCTGGGACTGCCAGGTTCCCCTGCTTCCCTCAGGAGGAAGGTTGGAGTCAGGTAGGTAGCCCAGGCCCAGCGGACCACCCCTCCTACCAAGCGGTGGAAAGAAGTTTTGAAAGTCCAAAGGGACAATTTCCTAACAGTGATAAAGGAAACTAGCAAATACTATTGATAGATGGTTGGAAAACACGTATACATTTTCCACAAGTAATGAAGATGTGGAAACTTCTGAGCTTGTAGAATCCGGCACATGTAGATGCAGAGAAGCACCCCGACCTTGACATTATTTGCTCCTGTTGATACGATAGACAGGGTGCAGCTGTGTTTCCAGATTTCACCTTCTTTTCCCTAATAGGCACGTCTTTATTTTCTCTCCAGCAGGAAAGTGTATATGGACTATAATGCAACCACCCCCCTGGAGCCAGAAGTCATCCAGGCCATGACTGAAGCCATGCAGGAAGCCTGGGGAAATCCCAGCAGCCCTTACCTGGCAGGTAATTCTAGAAGACACACACAGATCAGAGACGTGGGGGGCAGAGGTACTCTTAGAGAAATTAGAGAATCCTACATGGGATGACTCGGTTTTGAATAGATTTTCTGTTAACTGCAAACCTTTAGCTGTAATTTTGGGTAGTTTTTTCCTGAGAAGTCCAAATTTGAGCCTTGTTGATACCATAATCTTTCATCTTTAACATACTCTCCTGTCCTCCTTTCCCAGATGAAAAAGCTGTCTTATTAAGAGTTGTTTGTAGTGACAGTACCTATTAAAACCCTGTCATGTATCTGTCTCAGTTGATCGTTACAAAATTTGCAAAATAGATCCTTTACGACATCAGGATCACATAGAATCCTGGTCTCCTTTTTTTAAAAATAAAAATTACTTTCAAATTCTTCAATTATAAATATTCTTGTATGTTTCTCGTTTATTCTTGTTTTAATGTAGAGCATTAAATTGGAGGTCTTGGAAAAGAATTTGCTTCAAATCAGGAGTTACATGGCAGAGTCAACTTGTGTCTTTCAGGCAGTGAGCTGAAGCTGTGTCTTCTCATTTAATGCTTTATCAGGGATGATGAAGATAAACTATCTTAACTGTGGATCACGATGAACTAAAATAACTTTCAGACTCCTGCCACGCCCTAGGATTTAGCAATACCTGTGTACAAATTTATAGGCTTTTGTGGGGTTTCATGTCGGTTTGCTTATGAAAAGCTTCACAACTTGATAACTAAAAGCTTTTGCAAAATCAGATACCAGTCATTCATTAGCTTTGTTGTTGGTTTATCTTACACATGTATTCTGGCTAATCTGGACGTTGCCTTGTAGCTAATCTTTCCTCTAGTGAAACTGAAGTTTCTGACGCATAAAACTGGAGAATCCAGAGAACAGTCAAGTGCTAATAAAAAGCATTTATCATGAAGAAATTTAGGAATAACCCTCAGGGAGAAATAACCCTTCTAGACCTGATGAAGCCTGTTGTCTGTGGATAGCATGTTGCCTTGACAGCCTTTCTTTCCACAAATTAAGAACCATAACTAAAAATGCATTTGCAATAATTCTCTGTTGGCACTCAGGTGGAAGTGGAAAAGAAAGAAAAAAAGGAAAGAAAGAAAAAATCACCTGTATGATAGAATGGTTTAATTATTTTCACGATATTATGATTTAATAACGATAATAATCCCTTGAAGGGTAATCTGTTTTAAGGCCAATATTAAGGCGGTTTGGGAAGAGTTTAGAAACCCGAGATGTCTTTTACTACCTTGCTTGTAACCTCAGTGTCCATCAGTCAAGGATGGATCACATAAGTATGCGGAAGCCCTGGCGTGAGTTCTGGTCCCCCTTAAAGCGATGGTGTGGACCGTACTGGCGACCTGGGAGGAGACTTGCGGCATTGGGCCCAAGTGGGAAATGCACGCTGTAGATGCGCGGTGTGATTGTTTCCCCTGCCCACCACCCGAGAGACAATTATGTAGAGCAAGTATGGAAAATGTATAGTTTTGCTGTGAGAGACAGAAGCTCCCCAATAACTGTAGATTAAACAGCTTGAAATTTATTTCTCTCACGGTCCAGGGCCCATGTGGCTGCTCAGCCACCACCAGAGGCGCAGCTCCTTCTATCTTAAAACTTTTTCCATCTTCAGCATGCCCCTGGCCCCTGGGGTCAAGATGGCTCCTGCAGTTCAAGCCATCATGTAAGCAGTCCGGCCTGTGGGACGGAGAGAAAGAGGAGGAGAAAGGGCTGCCTGAGTCCTTCAGAGACACCTCTGGAAGTTAGTTGCAAGCACCACCCTGGCCTATAACCCACTGCCGGAGGTTGGTCCCATGGCCACGCCTTGGCATTTCAGTTGCGGTGGAAGTTGGGAAATGGGGTCTAAATTCTTAGCTCACCTAAGACTTTCTTCATATAAATGTGGCCTTAATTAAGATGTGTTCCAGCTGAAAATGCCTCCGTGGTAGGGAGGGAGAGTGGCAGCAAGGGCAGCCCCGACACAGATGGGACACCCGCCAGATGCTCCCGCCGCAGTTATCTTGGAGTAGCGGGACTGCAGGAGGTTTTTAGTATTTTCTTTCTGTATCATGGCTACAATCAGCATGCCTAGTGTAATGAGAAGAAAACTTTACTAAAGCCAAGCTTTTGTCTCTTCAGAACTCTTTCTTGGCTGACACGGCAGTACACACGCCGTGCTCTGACGTTCCCCGGCTCACCCCCTCGCGCTGGTGGGTGCCTCTGGCTGTGGAAATGCGGGAGGGTGTCACTGTGTGCACAGTGAGTTAGGTTGACGGTGCTCTGGCACGCACCCACTTCTCTTATTAGTGAGAACCTGCATGGTGGGTGGGGATCAGGGCTCAGGTTCACAGCTGAGGGCGTCCGCTCTCAGAGTGGGCCAGCGGCCTGCAGCATCTCGGGCTGGTCCCCAGATGGAACCCAGCTCTCCTAGCCCTGGGTTCTGGGGTTTTCCCACCATCACCCCTCCTGCTGCAGTCAGGGATTCCCTAGGGCCTTTTCCCCGGGTGTCTGGGGCTCACCTTCAAGGGCTCCAGTCCTCCCCCGTGAGCCGTGCACTCAGCTTGCCTGGAGGGCGCTTACTCTGTGCCTGGTGGGTGGGGCAGCCAGCAGACAAAGGTCCTGCTCTTGTGAGGGGCAGCAGGCAGGGCAGTTACAGATGCAGGTGTGTGAGGTGGACAAGGCCCTGTGGGGAGCAGTGAAGCCGATAAAGGGCACACAGTTCTGGGGGAGGGGCCCCGCTTCGCGGAGGATGACCCTACTCTCGGATGACATACGTTTGCAGACATGCGGAGGGGACACCTGGGGAGGCACTGCAGGCAGAGGGCTGTGGGTGACAGCAGGGGGTTCGGGGGTCCCAGGGGTTTGGGGGCAATGCCACGCTGGGCTGTGGAGGCCACTGTGAGGTGAGGGCCGGCTCTCGTGGGCCTGGGGTGGAGTGCGTCTGGAGGGCCTGAGCAGAGGGGTGACATAACTGAGGTCACTCACGAGACGCCACACTCTGGAAACGTATTAAGGACCCCAAAGAGCCTCTGCTTATGCATGCTTTGTCTGTAGATATTTGCCATATCAGAACTTAACACTAAAACACTTTAAATAGATACGTATCTATTCATTAAAGGTAACAATAATAAATTCATTACATGTTAACTTTCTTTTTATGAAAAAGAAACTATCTTTTCCAAAGCAGAACAAATTTAGTGAGAAGAATGGCACTGTTGTACATGTTTGAAAACCTTCAAGGTCTGGATAAATAGAAGACGTTTGGGTCCCATACCTGGCTGTGTATCCAGTCCATTGCAATATTCACATCACGTAGCCTCTGGAGGGCTTCCTTATATACCTGTGAGAAAATGAGTGTAAAAAAGGCAAATGATGTCTCAGTATTATTATGAAAATAGTTTTTACTTTGTGGACCCCCAGAGCTCCCCAGACCACACTTTGAACACAGGTGACTTAACCAATATTGGTTGAGTACCTACTGTGTGCCGAGCATTGTTCCCGGTGAGGGAAAAGCACAGAGCACAAAGAATTGTTGGGTTTTCAAGGCATTACTTTGGCCACTTTGTGGAGAATGGACCACAGTGGGGTCCATGGAGTTGGGGTCATGCCAGGGGAATATCCCAGCAGTGGCCTTGACTCAGCTGGTGGTTGGGGCAGGGGCAGGTGGGGTTGGAGTCTGGATATTTTTGATGGCAGATCTTACAGGATTTGATAATGGGTTGGGTGATGGGGTAGGAGAAAGACAGGGGCTTTCACCCTGGTGCCCTGGAAGGACTGAGATGCCATTTACTTACTGAGAAAGGAAAGGCTGGGAGCCTTTGAGAAAGGAGTCAGTTTAGGGAGAGGGAGGCAGGCATTCGGCTCTTTTTGTTTGTTTGTTTGTTTTTGTTTTTAAATTTATTATTTATTTATTTTTGGCTGCGTTGGGTCTTTGTTGCTGCGCGCCGGCTTTCTCTAGTTGCAGCGAGCCGGGGCTACTCTTCGTTGCTGTGCGCGGGCTTCTCATTGCGGTGGCTTCTCGTTGCAGAGCATGGGCTCTAGGCACTCACGCTTCAGTAGTTGTGGCACGTGGGCTCAGTAGTTGTGGGTCGCAGGCTCTAGAGCGCAGGCTCAGTAGTTGTGGTGCACGGGCTTAGTTGCTCTGCGACATGTGGGATGTTCCCGGACCAGGGCTTGCACCCGTGTCCCCTGCCTTGGCAGGCAGATTCTTAACCACTTCACCACCAGGGAAGCCCCCGGACATTCAGCTTTGAATGTGTGTAGTTTCAGATGCCTGTTGGACATCCAGGTAGGGTGAGTGGCGTCCAGAACAAGGTCTGGGTTGGCATTTTGGGCGTATGTTGATGTACAAGTTGTGGACATCACCTTCTTTTTTCTTGGGTAAACACTATTTACCCTAAACACCTAGGAGCAGAACGGCGGGGTCAGATGGGAGGTGTAAGTTTGACTTCCTAAGGAACTGCTGTGCTATCTCCAAAGTGCTTGTACCAGTTTCTGTTTCCACTGATGTGAGAGTTGTGTTTTCTACACATCCTCCTGAGCACTTGGACTGGCCAGTCTCTTCATTTTAACTGTTCCAATAGGTACATCACGGTGGTGAGGTAGCCCCCCCCGAATCCTTGTGTAGAAGGGTCTCCAAGACTTGTCGATAAGTGGAAAGGGAAGTTTTTGCAAACCAATTTGTAAATTACGAAACCCATTTTTGAAAAGGAAAAAGAAAACCCTGTGACATGCTTATATGAAGGTCTACAGGCTCTGGGGGCTACCCGCCACATGGGCCACCCGATTGTCCTGGGAAGGGCAGTGGGGCATGGGCAGGGGACCTGCTGCTGTGGGATCAGCCCAGCACCCCCTCAGAGGGGGCTTCTCAGCAGAATCCTGGAAGAAGAATGGGCCACGAGCTGGTGGATGGGCTTTGAGCAGCGCTCAGGAGGAGCTAACTGTGCCAGGCCAGGGTCCTGCCCAAACTGACTGACGTTTACTGCAGTCTTTTGAAGTATCACTGGTTGAAAGGACTGGGTTTCCTAGACACCCCAGACCTTCACTGCTTGTAATTAGAACCTACGCAATAGTTTTAAGGAGCGTGCGGATTACTTTGTATATTTATTTTTACCACATCTTTTTACGTTTCTATCTTGACATATGTTTTATTATTTATATGTTTATTTTAGTGGCACCTGCTCAAAAAAAATTTTTTTATGAATAGGACTGAATAGTCAAAGAAGTTTGGAGTCTACTGGTCTACAGACTAAAGATGGCCATCAAAACTTTCAGAATTCCCATCCCAGAGCCTTTCTTTCTCTGCCACATGAACTTTGGTTCCTGTTTTCCTGCTCTCCAGTGAAACTGGGAGTAGCTGGGCTCCTAGCAGCTGTTTGAAAGCAAACATGTCCCTGAGGCGGTGACCTTTCTTGTTACCTAGGGGACCGGCAGTATGACATATGGCATTGGGCTTTGTGTCAAGGAGTCACGAGTTCTATTTTTGCTTATTTTTGTTGTTTTGTAGCATGATCTTAAGCAAATTATCCCATCCTTTCATTCTCCTGTCTTGACAGATGGGAAGCAAGGCAGATGGCCACAGCTTCCCCTCTCCCGTAGCACCCGGTAAGAAGAAAACCATGTCTCAGGGAATTTTAGGGTTCCCAGGCATCCTCCCATATTTGCTTCTGGCTCTTACTAAGTTACTGAAATCTCAGTAGTTTTCACTGATTTGCTGACACCTTACAGCTGCCCCTTCGCCAAGTGATTTCTGGTTGTAGCTCACGTTAGTGGAGCACGTTTTGTCTTAGAACTGCCCACTCAGATCTCTCACTCCTTCATGTCTGGTTGTTCTTTTAAACATGTGTTGATTGGACTTGGTGAAGCAAAGTTAATGAATTTCCACTTTGGTCCCTCAAGGCAGGAAGGCCAAGGAGATTATCAATGCAGCTCGGGAAAACCTTGCCAAGATGATAGGTGGGAGGCCTCAAGATATGATCTTCACTTCCGGGGGCACAGAGGTAAACAATCTCAACAGTCTCATGTACTTTTAGCGGTGAGTTATTTTTTTTTTAAAGTAGAAGGTGGCTGCCTCTTGGTATTATTGTTTTTTAAAGAAAGAGTAATGCTTTGTCCTTGATATAATTAGCCAACATTTACCCTATAAGTGAATTCCAGGGGGCTGATAGGATATTTGTTACATAACGTATAAATTAATTTGCTTTGCATTGCTATTTCAATAAAGAGAGTTTCCCCTTCATTTTGGCCTGTAATCATTCCTTTGAATCCCACTAAGTTGCTTACCTTGTTAAGAGTGTGAGGTTTCTGGTCAGAATGGCCATCATCAAAACATCTACAAATAATAAATGCAGAGAGGGTGTGGAGAAGAGAGGACCCTTCTACACTGTTGGTAGGAATGTAAATTGGTGCGGCCACTATGGAGAACAGTATGGAGGTTCCTTAAAAAACTAAAAATAGAACTGCCATATGACCCAGCAATCCCACTCCTGGGCATACATCTGGAAAAGACAAAAACTCTAATTCGAAAAGATACATGCACCCCAATGTTGATAGCAGCACTATAACCAAGACATGGAAACAACCTGAATGTCCATGGACAGATGAATGGATCAAGATGTGGTGTGTACACACACACACACACACACACACACACACACACACACACACACACACTGGAATACTACTCAGCCATGAAAAAGGAATGAAATAATGCCATTTGCAGCAACATGGATGGACCTAGAGATTATCATACTGAGTGAAGTAAGTCAGACAGAGAAAGACAAATATAATGTGATATCACTTATATGTGGAGCCTTAAAAAAATGACATAAATGAACTTATTTACAAAACAAATAGACTCACAGACACAGCAAAAAACTAAGGGTTGTCAAAGGGGAAACGGGGGAGAGAGAAATTAGGAGTTTGGGATTAACAGATACACACTACTTTATATAAAATAGACAACCAACAAGGACCTACTGTATAGCACAGGGAACTATGTTCAGTATCTGGTAATAATCTGTAATGGAAGAGAATCTGAAAAAGAGCATATATATAATGGAATCACTTTGCTGTACACCTGAAACTAACACAACATTGTAAATCAACTCGACTTCAATGAAAAAAAGAGCGAGGTTTGACCCGATTTCAAAGGTACTTCTTTTTAAATGGATAGAAGATACTCAGGGACTGTGATGATGTCAAGGTCTCTACTCAGTCAGTCATTCTCACCATCTCATTTCCTTGTTGGAGGAGAAGGCCATGCACAGGTGCTGTGACTGTGTCCACATGAAAGACCAAGAGAATCTGCAGCTAGAGTATTAGAGTTCGTAAGTAAATTCAGCAAAGCTATTAGATAAAAAAATCAATTGTATTTTTATGTACCAGCAACAAACAGGTATTTACCAGAGCACCAAAAAATATCAGATACTTAGGAAATAAATCTAGTAAAAAAGCTTTTGTAAGACACCTGCACACACACGTTGGGAAAGGAATAGAAACATTACCGAGAGCCTTCAAAGAAATTCTAAATAAATGCAGCATATACCATGTTCACAGATGGGAAGACTCAATATGATAAATATGGCAGCTCTTTCCAGATTGATCTGTAGATTCAAAGCAACTTCGGTCAACATTCTGACTCTTTTCTGATGGAATCTCGCAAACTAATTTATATGGAAATTCACAATATGCCAAGAATAGCCAAATCTTCAAGATTAAGAACACCGTGAATTGTTCTACTAACAGAGGCAGGCGGTCTTACGGCAAAAAGGAGAGACACGAGGCCCAAAACAGGGCCATACCTGGATGGGTCCTTGTCACGTGACAAGGCCTGGCCTTTGTGATGTTGAAGAGATGGATTTCTTAGCTAAAATACAGAAAACTTTAATCATAAAAGAAAAGGTCGATAAATTCTACCACCACCACCACCACTAAACAATTTGTAGTTCATCAGAAAACCTTGAAGGAAATCAGAAGACCAGCCTGACAGTGGGCGAAGATGGTAGGAAAATGGGCGAGAAAAGTGAATATGCACTTCACAGAGAAACCCATGTGGTTTCTACGTGGGAGAAGGTACTCGGCCTCATTAAGTGATCAGAATACAAAGGTAAACAACAACATGGGTTGCCTCTGCCCACCCATCAGGATGGTAACAATTAAGAAGTCCAGTGACAAGAAGTATTGACAAAGGATGCACAGCAGCGAGCACGCACGGTGCTGGCAGGAGTGTAGGCTGGAAACCGTTCTGGAAGGTGGGTTGGCATCACCTCGTGAAGTCGAGGCCACGCCACCCTATCAGCCAGCCGCTCCTCTCAGGTACGTACCATAGAAGAAGGGGGCACGTGGGCAGCAGGGGCAGGCAGGAGAGACTGGGGACAACGTAGATGTCCTTCCAGATAGCATGGACCGATATTCACACCTCTGATGCAGTCCCGGGTGGAAGGGTACCACACAGTCCCCAGCAGCAGCAGCGCGGAGGGATCGTGAGTGTGGAGCGGAGGGCGTCAGCCAGAGGCTATGCTGAGCCGGGCCGGGCCGGGCCAAGCCAAGCTGACCAGAGGGGAGGGGAGCTGCCGCCAGGCCCCTGGGCACCGACCACCCCCAGGACCAGACTCCTGGTGCCCCGCTGCCCCGTGGGCCGTCCTGGTCTTGCCTGGGGCCAGGTGCTGAGGAGCCTGGTGGCCTGGGGGCACGTGGTGCGTTTTTCGTTGTGACTGACCGGTTCCGACAGAGGCTGCTGTGCTCCCAGTGCCACCTGGGCGCTCAGCGTGGAGTCCTGTGCCCTTTGGTACCTGCAGGTGGAGGCGGCACATGGGAGGGGCCCAGGCATCTTCGTCGCGTTCACGGTGGGTTGGCTCAGCTTTGACCTGAGGTGTGCGGCCCCCGAAGGCCCTCCTTTCCGGACCAGGAGCCGCTGTGTTTTCTGCGAGGGGGTGACCTGGGGCTCTAAAGGGCCATCCACCTTCAGAGGGACACATCCAGCCTTCCATCCTGGCCCTCCTCCCCTTCATCTGGTTTGCTGCGTCTCAGACCTGGGTGAGCCCCGCTGTCGGCCGCCTCGTCCTCCATCAGGGCCACCTGTTGGACTCTCAGTGCCTTTCAAGTCCTCTGAGTGCCGGCTGACCGTGTGTGGGTTCCTCCGCACCCGACAAGCAGCAGCCGCCGCCTTCCCGCTGGGCGGTGCCTTCAGACACGTGAATAGGTTGGATCTTCAGTTGACCAAAAAATTAATTCAGTCCAATTCCATTCATTTGAAGGTCAAAAAGAGGCAAAATAAGCAAAATCACTTAGGGATCCTTACCTAGGAAGGAAAAGCGTAAAGAAAAGCAAGGAAATGATTACCATGCAAATCAGGGTGGAGGTAGCTGGCATGGCAGGGGGGCAGTGGTTGAGGGCGGGTGGGAGGTGTTCCCTGGTGTGGGTCCTGTTTTTGTCTTGACCCAGGTCACGGTTACTCAGGTCTTCACTGTCATACTTTCTCATGAAACTTACATTTCTGTTTTATACACTTTTCTGTGTGTATGTTGTATTTAGCAATAAGAGAAAAGGTCTTTAAAAACAAAAATCTCCCACCCATCCCGTTAGTTATCCACTTCCTCTCCCTACAGGAGACCAGTATTGTTAGTTTCTGTCGAGTCCTGCAGAGATGGCCTTTGCCTTAAAAACAGATTAAGTGTGTAGATTTATATATTCTTTTCTCCTTCCCTTTTTACCTCTTCAAGGATTTGGGGGATGTATAGGCAAATGTGTATGTATCTCGCCCTTTTTATACAAATTGTATGATGCGTATAATGCTCGCTACCTTTTTTTCATTTAACAAGTGTCTTTGAGATCTCTGGCATCTCTGCCCTTAGGGCATTCCCTCTGTGCTTTTACATCTGCTTGGTGTCCCCTGAACAAGTCCCCTTATGGATAGACGTTGAAGGGTTTCCTAAGGTTTTGCTGTTACGTCATTGTACACTTAACCAGTAACCTTTTACATCCATCATTTTGCTTCTGCAAGTGTAGCTGTAGGATCAAGTCCAAGAACCAGACTTCCTGGGTCAGAGGGCCTGTTTGATAGAAATGCCAGATGGCCCTTAACAGAGGTTGTGCCAGTTCACATTCCCACCAGCGATGGGTGCCTGAGCAAAATATTCTTTTTTGACAGATTTAGAAAATTTTTAAAATGCATAATGTTGCTTAACAAAAAGCCTGCGTAATCCACCGGAAACGAATTCTGACATTTTTGAAAGTTGAAAACCCCCAAATCTTTGTAGTTAGGCCTTTCAGAAGGTGCAGCTCAGGAGCTGGTTTTCTTTGAGACCGTTTTTTTGTTTGTTTTCTTTTTAAATGTTAGCTACAAAGGAAACTACAAATGAGAGAGATTGTTACTCTAAGTCTCCCCTTGGCATAGTTTTCATAAATGATTTCTCTGCTCTGTCTCTGCAGTCAAATAATTTGGTAATCCATTCTGTGGTGAAACATTTCCACAAAATCCGTGCCGCAGTGGGGGACACGGCTGAGCGACCCAGCCCAGTGGAGGGGGCCCTGCCTCACATCATCACCTGCACCGTGGAACACGACTCCATCCGCCTGCCCCTGGAGCACCTGATGGAAGAACGAGTGGCCGGTGAGTGGGCAGCTGGCTGAGGTCCGGCGACCCGGGTGACCCCATGAATCATTTACCCTCTGGCGCTTGGGCTGCCTGGCTGTGCCCAGGGGCGAAGGTCACGAGGCCTGTCCTTCCAGATTTTCCCTGGGGGAGAAATCAACCACCAGCGCGTGGAACTGGTCGTTTATCACCACGTGATACGTCAGACTCTTGTACATGATGTATAAGTGCATATTTAATAGCATGCCTATAAATGCTAACCCGTGCTTTTCATTGTTTGATTTTAATGATTGAATCTTGGCTTGCACTCCCTCTGGTAGAAAGAAAAAGGATCCAGTAGACATCAACTTCTAGTGGTAAAAACAAGAATAAGTGCACCCCTGCTGGGAGCCTGTTATCTCAGCAGAGAGGAGGTGAGGGCCTCCCGGGGTGAGGGGAGCAGGGCTGGGTGGGTGCTGGGGCCCCACCGGGAGGTGCACCTGGCCAGGCAGTCTGAGGGGCAGGTGGAGCCTGCCCAGCAGTGGCAGTGGCCCTGGTTACTTCTGGTCCTTTCACATTTCCTGTGATGTGACATCTCAAGACACAGGGTATAGATACTAGCTTTTCCCAAGACAGCCAGGGTTGACCTCTCCTTGGAATAAGTCTGGTTTTCTCCGAAGCATTTGCCTTCTTACCTAATCTGCCTGGAAACCTGAAGGGGAGGCAGGGGAGAGTGTTCTTATCTTAAAGATAAAGGAGGGCTTCCCTGGTGGCGCAGTGGTTGAGAGTCCGCCTGCCGATGCAGGGGACGCGGG